ATTTTACTGCGAGACCCTCTGGTCACAGACTCATTTTGTGTCAGCTCCATTAAAGCTGAAGGTGTCGCCCACTAGAGGTTTGGAGGGTGAAGTGTTTCAGTTGCTGCTCTGTTGCTGTTCATTTCTTAAGTAAGACTGGAAACTGTTAAGCGTTAACATATTCTTCTGTTTAAAACATACGGCTAAAACTACATTTGATATCTTTTGCACTACAAGAAATAAGCCTAATACTTGGTTTGTTTATTATTTTAAAACTCTCTGGACCTAGTAGTGGAATTTTCTTAATTCAAAATATATGATGGCAAAAGGACACCCTATGCTTTTTTTTTTAGCAAGTTTTGTACCCAAAACATATCACGATGTATATCGTTATCGCCACCCTTCACAATACATATCGTGATGTGAATTTTATGCCATATCGCACATTCCTAAAATTGATTCACACGGTAAGTTGGTAAGTTGAATTATTTGTCCAGTTTTCTGTCGTGTGAGTTGTTGTACATCTGTCCAGAACGTCTTTGTGTGATTATGATGGAATAAATGAGTGTTTCCATGTGTAGTTCACAAAATGTACAAGAGTAGTCAATATAAAGTTTAAATCTTTCCAGTGTTTTTTAACAGGTTATACATTATGACTGATTTTAAATGAAACCTCTTTAACTTTATTTGTTATGCAAAATTTTTCTCCATTCAACCAAACTTGTTTCCACTTAATTTCTCCAAAAGTAGAGGACCAACACAATCTACCAGGATATAAAGTAATGTTCTGCAGACGTGATCTTATACGTTTGTTGGAGCATGTTTGTGCGTTATGGGTCTTCTCAGCTGGTCTCTAGATGAACGATCAGGTTTGTTCCTTTGAAGAGTTGCATCATGGAGTTTGGTAGAGCATCACAAACGACAGCATGCTCTTTAGGTGTTGCAGGTGTGTTAAAACCTCCCCCCTCCTTTCTGACAGAGGCTCGAAGTTATTTGGCCAAAGTACCAAAAAATGTGCAAGAAGAAAAAAAGATTTAAGTTGAATTTGTTGCAATAAAGTCACAGCAAGAGCGTGAGGGAGTCATGACGTCTGAGAGATTTGTGATATTTAGGATGTTTGGGTTTTATAGTTGGGCTCTAGTTTAGTGTTTAGTCACTTTTGGTGTGTTTGAGTGAAAACAATGAGACAATTTGTGAACGTGGGGAGGACGGAGCTGCAGACCCAGAGGAGGACAGAACCGCCGAGTCAGAACCTCTTAGAGGAGAAGGAGAAAACCGTCCGAGTCAGACAGAGAGGACTTTGTTGATGAAGAGGGTGATCATGATTTGTTTTAGAAGAGGAAGAGCTGCGCAGAGATGGAGGTCCAGAACTGCTCTGACTGGCCCAACAGAACCAAGCATCAGTTCTGAGCTCTGGAGGACTCAGGAGGATGTGGATGTTGACCCAGAGGGTGTACGACGAAAACACAATTTTTTTTTATATTACCGTAGAAGAAATACAAAAACACTTAAAGCGTTAACATAAAAAAAAATAGAGATATTTTTATTTCAGGCTTACAGCTCTAAAAGACTGACTAGTTGGGTTTTTTTGTGGAACAAATATTTAATAGTAATTTTTAGCAGTTAAATGAGGTGGTTGATTTTACCCTGAGGAACATGAACAGTCATAAAGTTAAAGGTTAAAATCGTCTCATTCAAATGTTCACAATATGAAGCTTTAGATGTTCAGGTTTCATGATCCGTCTGTAGATCGAGAAAACAAAGTGAAGTTTTTTGAGCATTCAGCTGGGACTCACTTTCTGACAAAATACTGACGTCCTCTCGAGCTCGTTCTTTTTTTTAGCGTCTGTATTTTCAAGTGTAGAGGTTTATCGGTCCTCTCAATCTTGATGGAACATGAAGCTGTTTTGGTTTCATGAAGTCGGAAGCTCTGCTTCCTGCAGGAAAGTACCTGCTTATGTTGAAACCTGCGGTCACTTCGTGCTGCTTTGCTCCAACTTTCATTCTGCGTGAATCAACTTGTAGAGCCTCTAAAACTTGGAACGTTTTATTTTATAAGAATTTAATTTTTATTGAGCTTCCACATTCTTCAGGTTATAGATTACTCGATAAAGCACACTATTCTTTATTTAGTTGATGCTTAACTGATTTCTTGTCATGCAGGTGGAGAATCTAAATGCTGTCCATCCAGACTATGGAAACAGAGTTCAGGCCCTCCTCGACAAATTTAATGCAGAAGCTAAGAAGGTAAAAAAAAAAAAATTCAAAACATTACATTTATAAGGTGGGCTCTTGTTTTATCGCCCGACGGGTCAGTTTGTCCAAATGAACATTTTAAATCCATGCAAGAATTTCAAGTTGATAAATTCTCCTTATTGAAGTTTCACTTTCACGTGGTTAAAATGGTTCCTTTAGATGTTCTAACATTTCTTTACCCAGATGGCTCTTTGAATGAACTCACTGGTAAAATAAACAAGTTCTGATGGTCTGATGAGCTCATGGCTAGTCCCAAGCAGGGTAAGACCAAAGAGGACTGCTGCCATCTTTAATCACCTCCATTCTCATGTTGTAGTGGTTCCTAAAATAAATTGTTCTATAGATATAAACCATTGCAGACATTTTCACATCCAGCATTTTTTTTTTAAAGTTTATTTTTAAGTGCAGTTAGTGGTTTCAGAACCATCCATCCTGACGGAAGCTGCTGATGGATGAACCCAAGTGCAGACAGACGCTCGGTAGACTCGAGGGTAAACGAATAATATTTATTAATAAGAACAAAAGAGGCAGCGGGAGGAACACGGGAGGAACACGGGAGGAACACGGGAGGAACACGGGAGCGACGAGCCATACCAGACGATGAAGAACACCGAGACGCAGCTTTAAATGGGAACGTTAATGACAACACCTGGGAAGGACAACGGGAGCTCGATTACACGAGGAAGAAACACGGAGGAGCAGGAATGAACACGAGGGAGGCGCGCTAGAAGACACATCCTCACACATCCAGCGTCTTCCACCTGTTCTGGACTCGGGTCTCTGGGTCATCTTGAGCAGGGAGGTCCAGACATCTCTTTCCACAGCTCTTCTGGGAGGACTCCAAGGTGTTCCCAGGACAACCGAGAGACGTAGTCTCTCGGTTGTCCTGGGTCTTCCCTGGGGTCTCCTCCGTCCAGGGGCCATCCTTACCAGATGCCCGAACCACCTCAACTGTCTTCACTCAGGAGAGTGAACTTCTCACCCTGTCTCTGAGAGTCCAGTGACCCTGTGGAAAAAAATCTCATTTCAACGGCTTATGTCTGTGATCTCGTTCTTTCAATCTGTGCCCAGAGTTTGGACCATA